GTCCCGTGTCAGGCAAATAGCTAACTGAATGCAACTCAGTATAAGCTGTAATTAAAATAATGTACTCTTGATGCCTAAAAACAAAAGATTAATATTTATTGTGTACCTGGCATAGCACACAGTGGATTCCATACACTACAGAATAGATTTTATGAATTAGATGCCTGCCTTGCACTTTTTAGCCATCAACAACAACAAGATGTGATAATGGCAAACCAACCAATGCTTTCTAGTTCCCTTGCTTGTGGGTTCTGTTCCTTGAGAATGAACAGGCACTGATTGCTTGAAAATGGTTTTCTGAATGTTTCTCCCATCCAAGGCAGGTAGTTTGAGTCAGCGAGGAGTGGTATTTGTTGTAGAGATGGAACCTTAAAGAGGAAATGTAAATCCTGATGGTTTGGAGCAGAATTTGACTTCTCTAACTTCCCCAGAATCATTGAGCTCTCTGTCCGTTGCTTGGTGAAGAGTGTTTCGGCTGCACTGGTGTCTCTTTGTGTGTGGAGATGCACGCTGTGATTTTCTGCATGGGTCCGGGTATGTTTCTGCTCAGTTTGCCTAAGTATGTTCCCACAGTGGTGTAGCCAAAACCTTTGATAAAAATGCCTCAGTCTGAAACAGCTGTGTGTAGCAGTTTGGGTGGAGCTGCTTTCAAGTGTCTCCCAGCAGAAACTGGCCTCCTGACAGCCAGGCAGAACTTTTCCATAGCTGCTGATTGTACATTGACTGTAAAGTCAAGCTGGCGACAGAGGAGTGTAGCTGGCATCTTGTCATAAAGAAACAAAAATGATGGGAAGAGCCAAACTGCGATTGTCCTTAGATGAGGAACATCAATCACTCCTTCAGATGTTGCTCCTCAGGGTTGATGATTCTGCTCTTGTCGGAGAATGTAACCGAGTTCAGGTGAGGATAAGTTTGTCTTGTTTGTCAGAAACCTGTCACTATGCGGGAAGCCGGATTTCAGAGCCTGTGGATGTGCAGCGAGGAAACACATAAGGAAGCTGAGATGTGTCTCATCCATGTCTCCGTTTATTTTCAGGATTCCAAACTATGGGACACACAACCAAATGTAAGTGAGATGGACTAAATGCTAATCACTAGGCTGTGAGAAGCAATACATTTTTATAGTATGTGAGGTCAGTTGTCTCACGTAAACATAGGTAAGCGTGCAGCCAATTTTTGCACAGTAGAATATTTTAAGTATTCTGGGAACCAGGCCCCTTTTCTGTGGGTCAAGAATAGGTCAGTGCATCCATGTTCGGGTGCAATACAAATGAACACAGTTGGCGTTCGGCTTTCACGTAGGGTTTTACAGCACTGTAGCGCAGTATAATGCTCCAAGACATGTTTGGCTGTTTCTTTATAGCACTGAAGGAAAATTAGAAGTGGATAATTCCTTAAAGAAACCAAGCAAACTCAGACTAATACAAAAAGGCCAAAGAGGTTATTGATATTCTGTGCGTGGGTATCTTCTGCTGAGAAAAGTTAAAGTTTGACAAAGACCAAAATGTCTGTCCATTCATTTACCACTCAATGGTGGTGACTGCAGTGAAAGACTCTAGAAGCGTTTGGTCTAAACAGGCAAACTTTCCTTTTCACAGCAATGGGAAAATGCAATTCAGCTCACAGGGGATCCCACCTTCGATGTGGCTGATGACCCAGAAACACACGGTCTGATCCAGTGGCTGTTGCTGTGTGCTGGTTTGGTTATCTCTGTCTCTGCTGTCTCTGTATCCTGTGCGCTCAATCTCCGCAAGCTCAAGTTCCCGTCGATCCCCAATAAACAGGCAGGGCTCTCACGGCGCTGACAACCAGTGCGAAGAATTTGTTTTCACCTCCTTCTGTCAGGCTGTAGTTGGATAATTCTCCCGAATGCCTTGTGCAACCGGGGTGGCTCAGTGCTGCCTCGGAGTAGAGGTAGATGGACTTGTTTCCCTTGGGGTGTCCCTCCGATGTGCGAGAGGCAGCCAGGACGCTGGCAGTGAGGAAGCAGCTCCCAGATGGGTTTAGATCAGATATTAGACCACACATGTGACCAGTGAGCTTAGAAAACCTGCTTTGCCCTCGCATAGTGCAGCCTGTTCACCTTTTAGTGACAGTTCTGACTACCATCCTCTTCCTCCTGCTGGTGAAGGCACTTGAGAGTGTGCCAGTCCACACCTGACAGGGCCATGTCCAGATGCTTATGTGCCTCTTGCCATGTGGGCTTGCCATCAGCTGGGTTTGCAGGGAGGTGTACACCCTGAAAGGGGATGGCCTCTAGGAGAATTCAGCTGGGCGGAAGCTTACATCAGAGGTGAGAAGGAATATAAAGTGCATGGCATCCACAGACGGACAGAATGCTGCCTTGCAGCCTAGCTGCTAGGTTTGTGTGCCTGTTACTGAGCACCTCCAGTTACAGTTCTGCTTTTCCAGGGTTAATGTTCACATATCACTTAATTTTTCTCATGGGTCATTATTCAGCAGTTTTAAGGGACTGAGTTGCAATGGCCTTCAAAGTGTGCATTCAGAGAGTTTTAGGTGAAGTATATATCTCTCATAAATTTGCACATGTGTATACTTCAGACAAAATATTTCCCAGGTAAAGATCTATAAGTAATGCAAAACCTTTTGATGCTGTTGAGTAGTTCAGTTTTAACCTGTGACATTTACAGTATTAAAAAAAAAATAAATGAAGGCATTTTTGCTTTTCACTTTTTATGAATTCTGCATTAAAAATGTATTTAATTATATAAATGCCAAGATTGGTCCTGCTGAGACATCTTCACACTCTGGGTCTTTGATTAAGAGACAGTGATGCCTAAAGCATGATCCAAAGCTCACTGAATCTGGGAGAATCTCCCCTGGCTATTTGTGGACTTTGGATCAGCTAAATAGAGGAGGACAGGTAGGAGCCCACCACAGCTGATCCCACCTCACTGAAATCAGAAGGAGCCTCTTGGGCGCCAAAGAAACTGAAGTTCAGGTTTTGCAGGTCCTTGCATGCTATTAATAATGGAAGGACATTTTAGATCATTCACTGAAAAACTGAAGAACATTTGGGTTGATACACAATAGCCTATAAATAATCACAAGTCATATTTTGTTAATATGGCAACACCATTGATGTATATAATAAGCATCCAAAGATTGTTTTACACACTGGCAAGTATTTTTCACTGATGAAGGAATGAATATAGCTAGTTCATTTAAAAGAAAAAAGTGAGATAATTTTGAATTAAAATCGAGAGCAAATGGAATTGTGGGATTCAGAGATTTGCTAACTGTCCAATATATTCATGTGCAAAGCTGTTGTGGGAAAAATTATTCTCCAGGTGTGCTTTGATGGAATGATTTATTGTTCCTAAATGCTTGCCGAAAGAATATTGAATGTTTTCCTGTGTTTGAATGTACAGTTTCTAAGCTGAATACATTTTAATGTTTAAAAACTTTGTGTATATCAAGCTTGTTGTAAAATACTCCTTTTGTTCCTATGTTACTGATGCAACATTGGATAGTTTAATTCCACACTAGATATTTTATGTTAAACAAATAAATAGTTTTTTCAGTAAAAATGTTTTTGGCTGTTCTATGGGACTTTTACAAAGGGTTTGTAACTTTACCATTTTTTGTCTTGATGTTCAGAGATTTGAGATATACGCGGCTCTGTGGACTCAGCTGGATATGCAAGGGCTCAGCACTTTGCAGATCTCACTCAATTTTTGTGTGTTTTGTGCATCTGGACATAAAGGAAAGTCACAGGATTCACGTTCACATTATAAGTAACCTCATAGATAACTACAGCTAAATATTTTTAAAATTATCTTTTAAGATCTTTAGTTGTTTTTTGCATTTCATTCAGTCTGGACAATAAAAACCAGTTTTGCTTCTTGCCCGTGGGTAATTTCTAGCAGTGCTTTTAATGCTGCAGTATGTGAGCGTAGATCACAGAGGCGTGTTGGGAGGAGGTGGCTGAGCATGTGCCTGGACTTTGGCACAGGGAGGGTTCCTTCTATTTATTTACTTTTTGATGTAGACTCTTCTTCTACCTATCTTGTTTTTATGAAAGATAATTAAGTGCATAACCCAGACTGTATTGCTCTACCCTTTAAATGATATTCTTATTTTGATGTCCAGTAATTTACAAACATAAAGTGGTTCATGTCTGAGTCAAAATGACTAACGATCTGCAAATACTTTGCATGCTCATCCAGTGTGTTCTCATCTCAGTGTGCATTAATCTTCCCTCTCACAGCTTGTGCAGCCGTTGACAGTCCACTGGGATGAAGAGTCTTATTTCTGGGAATGGAAACAGTTGGTAACTACAGAAGGGTTTGTATCGTGGAAGCAATACTTAGGGAGAATATTCATTCTTCTGTGTTTTCTGTGAACTTTTTGGCATCCTCGAGCATTTCTAAAGCTCATTCTGTTTTTCAAAATACCAGAGCTGCTGTTTGCTTACAGAGGATGACTTTACTGATACTTGATGTAATTCCAGCTTTGTTCTGTGTCACAGGCAATTGTTGAGAACTGTGAGTTCATAAAATGTGCTGATGCCGGCCGGCGTTTTGTGCTTGTCAAGAAAGTACGTGCAGTAGCTGTCCAGGCTCCCCACTGCCTCTCTCCTCCTTGTTGCAAAAGTGAACTTCAATCTCATGACTCTTCTGTCCCACAGTGTTTCATCTGTGGCTGACAACAGTGTGAAATACCTCTCCTGTCGCTCTAGTCTCAAACTGGAGGAATCAGCTGAGCTCCATGAGAAAGTCCCAAGCATTTCTGTCTGGGAGTGTGAGTTCTTAATGGGCCAGGGACTACTAGCAACAACACGCAGGCAACCACGTAATTTCACACAATTCCTTTGTCTGCTCAGAAGCTGAGGTGACAGCTCTTCCTCCTGCAGGATGAAGTGTTCAGGAAAAAGGTGTGTGGAAATGTGGAACGATAATCTACTGGAATTTCTATGGAATTAGCACTCAAGGCCATATCCATGCCATCATTAGGAAGAGAAAGCATCATGCACGAGATATTTGAATATTACCTTTATTGTGCACACATATTAAATTGTGGCCTTTTAGAAAAAAAGCAAAATTAGACTGCAAATAAAATCACACATAATTTCTTTCTGTTTTCATGACAGATCACAGTACAGCTGCGCCTGCAGGCTCTCAGGTCAGAAGAATCAACTGCGCATTGCAAGCCACACAATGGTTTGCTACACCCCTGCTAATCCAGTGTAGCTCTTCTGAAATCAGGTAAATGCTTTTGGATTGACAGCACTGCCAATGGGAGAATATGGTCCTTACTATCTCACACTTGGAATAAGCAAAATTGAGCGGATGTTATTTCACTGAACGGCTTCTGCTGAGGTGGTATCACAGAGCATTAGGTTTAGCATTAATCAGTGGTAAATTTTCTCCAGGCATTGTTTTCTTTTTTCTATCCTTTTCATGATTATACGCCCTTTGAACATTGCTGTGATATATATGGTGAGCTGCCAGAAAAAGTCAGAAAACCTTTTGACAGACAGACTGGGCATGACAGGGGCTCCTAATTTCCCTACGTCTACCTTTGTTTTTGAAGCTGCTGCCTGCTGAGGACGGACACAGGTCTGCCCAAACCTGGGCCATGAGGCCAGAGCAGCTGACACCATCTCCCATCACCTCCGCTGCGGTGGCAGCCGGCCTGAGCGATCGTGTCCTGCAGATGAGTGACAACCAGCAAGCAGGGGCAGCCCCAGCTATCACAGGGTGGTTTGTACTTCTCACAGATGTGAGCAGCACCCGTGTTAGGCCAAAATCGCAGCCCCAGGAACTTCAGCACCTGCTCTCGTTGGTACCTTCAACACCAAGTTGTTGCCTTGGACTCGAGTGCCACAGGCATGAGAATTCCCACGCAACGTCCCTTTGCCAGCGCTGCAGGTGTCATAGCAGAGGCAACACAACCCTCCCGCACCTTAACAGGAGGAAGAGAGGAAGGGAAGGGGACAGGGCAGCAGCCGCTGAGAAATTCTGGCCCTTAGGGTGAGAGTAGCTATTGCTGCTTTTGTAAAAGGGCAGACAATTAGCAGAAGTGCTCAGCAAAGCTCGCCAGAACTTTCTGACTGCTCGGGGGGTGTGAGCTGGAGGAGTACACAGCGGTCGCACAGTGTCCAGTGGAAAATGAGGTCACTGGAAGGTCTCCCAGGGCCACGGCTGTGCTGGCGCAGCGACCTCCAAAGCACTGCTGAAAAGGAGACCAGCCTCAAATGCGCTCACAAGGCAGCAGATCTCGTGTGCACGGACCATCTCCAGCAGCACCAAGTGCACATCGCTTCCTACAAAGCCTTCACAAGTTTCTCTTTTCCTCGGTGACATTGAAGCAGGGTGTCAGGAGCCAGGTCCTTCGATAGGGAGCAACTCTGAGGCCAGGCTATGGCCAGGAAACGTGCACTTTTCATGACACTGTTTTAAAATCCAGGTGCCCAGGAGGTAAAACGAGCCCAGCTACACTGCAGCATTCTCTCATTCACGAGATGCAGCTGCCTGGTACATCACAAACCAGGTTGATGAACTATTCCTGGCACATGGAGTCAGAGGGAGAAAGAAGCTGCATCACAGATGAGTAAGAAACCGTTGGCTTATCTGCGCAGGAGAGTGAGCCAGGCACTGTGTGCTGGGCCTGGGACAACCGCCAGCCTTCGGATTCGAGGCTAATGCTTCTTGAGCATTCACTACCTTGTCTGTGATGTTTTTTTAGAGCAGGGAAGACACACAGCGTGGAAAAATTGGCCAAACTGTGTTTTCAGAACAGTGCGTTGGGTCCCCAGCAGCGTCACTGAACACCCCCAAATAGTCACCCCCTCCTGGGAGTTGTCCCCAACTCCTTCTAGAGGCACAACCTTCCCCGCATCAGCTCCTCTCAGAGCTGCTGCTCCAGTCCTGTCTCACAGCTGGAGGAAATGAGAAGCTGAAAGGCCCGTGGGAGTTTTAGGGACGAGAACAGCTATTTTGCGTATGCTCTCTGCTATATATAGAGCCTGGCAAGTACACAGGGCTGGAACATGTTGCTTTTGTTGCTAAAAACATCATTTAGAAAGCCCATTTTAGGTAACCACTGCTGTCTATTGCTAGATACACTAACCAGGTGCTGTAGACCCGTGCTTTGTCCTGGCATCAGCGTAAGAAAAGCTTTTGTAACTGAAGCACGTGCTTTTAGAGCTGTTGTTACTTCCCTGGAAGCTTCAGAGCTTCTTCCTACTAAGGAGCTTTGGCCTCCTGGGAGAAGCTTGCAAATCTAATTTCATGCTGGGTGTCGGAGCAGTCCGTGAAGACCTCAGGTGGCACCAGCTCAGTTTCAGATCCTGTCCTATCATGCAGATGAACTGCAGGACTGTTCAGATTTCAGCTGAACCCTGCCTGCCCTTTGCAGACTGATCCCCGGGACAGAAGTTGCACTTTGCCACGGATAATTAGTCCATATTTTAAAGCACTTCCTTTAGGTAGGCTGTGCAAGGCTGAGCTGGAGGGAACTGGGCCATCTGGCAAATGGCAGCGACAGAACTGGCAGCAACCTGAAAACGAGACACTATGAACCAGTGCTGGAGCTGGCAGGAGGGTTGAATGGCCCATGTGTATCACTGTGTTATTCGCATCTTCCTGCTTTGATTTCTAAGCTACTGCTGTCACGATAATCCCGAGTGAGCAGGCAACTCACAAGCGGGGCTGCGGCGGCCTGGCCAGCTGCTTCTCCTGGAGGATGCTCCCAAAGAGCCTGGCTGCTGCCATGGCACAGCCCCAGTGGATGGTGATCCCAAACCCGCCGTGCCCATAGTTGTGTATCACCTGGGGGAGAAGAGAAAGGCTCAGTGCTGGGAAAGCTGCGCTGGAGCCCTCTGGGCTAAGGGCAGCACAGAGACACGACAGTGGCTGGGAATGTCCTTGGTGTCTTTAGAATGACCCTTCAATCTGGGAGCTCCCGGTGCTTGGCTCAGCAACCCGCTGCTCTTTCCCACCCTCCAAAAGCTGCTGGAGAGGCAGGAGAAACTCTACGTACATCCTCTGCACCCACTGCTCCAGCCACCCCGAAAAGCAGCAGCAGGGCTTGCGGCCCTGTTCCTCGGAGCACAACCCGTTACGTCCTACCTAGTGTTTGTTCCTGCCAAGGTAAATTATTTTACTCCAGCAGGAGCCTGACTCATCACTGGGATCGACAGCTACACCTCTCCTGTGCCAAGGCAGCGCAGATACGGTGTGCTGATAAAGGAACAGAGCGATCCACAAGTTAATTCAAATACAGCATCGCTGTGATCCGTGCTCTGGGCTGTGCCTAAATACACCGTTTTCTTTCCAAGACTCTCCAGCTGCAAATGGAATAGATTTTCATTACATTTAATTACATTTTGCAGTCGCCATCCCCTTTGGAGCTTTAATCTCTTCGGCCAAGCTGTACAGAGACATATGCATGCAACTGAATCAAGGATTCCCTCTGCAGGTCTGCTGCTGAGCGGTCAGGCGACAGCGCTAAGGAGTGACGTGGTCCTACATGAGAAGGTGCTGTGCTGAGGGTCCGAGAGCAGATGGCACACTGACACTCGTGCCATCCCCTTTCTCTTAAAAAATATATTAGCAGTGTAAGGCAATTTAAAGAGCCATTGGCGTGGTGAAGTTTCACACTAGACACCCAGATTTACCTGCATAGGGGCAGCTGAATTTTTCAGAGCCCCGCGGCATCTACAGCCCCACTGGTGTTCCTCTGTGCCTTCACCACGTTTCATTTTGTGCTACTGCTGAGCTTCGAACTGGAAGAAACCTCAAGAAATGCAAACTTGTGCACTGACAACCTGGTATCAGTGCTGGAGGCCCTGAGCATTTTATTAAAAACTGCATCTTGGGATTTATTAAACGGAGACATGGAGTTCTCCTGCACAAGGGCTGTACACTTAGGGGCTCCCAGCAAAAAAACACACTACTTTAAAAGCTGACACCAAAACATGGTTTGCACGTGCCTCGTGTGGTTCTGGGAGCAGCAGAGCCCATGCCAGAATTTTTTTCCTGTATGGGTTTTTTGGTGTCTATTAAGGACTAAGCTCCAGCTGCAGGTTTTCCTTTGGCAGGAGCACTCCCTGCCCACTCTCGCCACAAAATCCATCAAAATTGAGTATCTTCAACACTTCTCCCTGACACTGGGTCGGAACTGGCTCAAAGATTCACCCATTATTAGACGGGAGATGGAGTGAGGACCACGGGGCTGAAGAGCCCCAGCGTTAGCTGGATGTTGGCGCTGCACTGCCCAGGTCGCAGTGACCGATGCACAATTAGCACGGTGGTTAATGACACTCGGCAGCCGGGGGCTGTGCACGGTACCTCTGCCTGGAAGTGCCCGTGGCGGACGGTCTCCCGCTCCAAGCGAACCCGGGGCCGCGCCGGTCTCAAGCCGCTCCACTCCTCGATGATCTTTGCTTTCTGAAAGCAAAAGCCCATCAGCACCCGCACGGCACCTCTCCAAATTACAGCAGCCGAACGGCACAGCACCGAGCGATCCGTGAGATGGGGGCTCTCACAGTCAGCGGGGACGGAGGCTCCCCCGTCCCCGCCGCTGCACGGGCTCTGACCGGGCTGAACAATTTCAGGTCACAGCCCGCACATCGCCAGCCTGCAGCAGAGCCGGCGAGGCAAACCGCCGGGCCGAAGCCCCGCGCTGCCTCTCCCGCTAACCCAGGGTGCAATGGCAGCGTCAGGAGTGGGCGCAAACCCACCTCACCCCACGCCAGCCTGTCTCTAATGCAAGGTGCGTGGAAAGGCAGTGGGGACACACACACCATGACCAAAGGGCTGAGACCTCCCAAAGCTTTTGTTCTGATTTTTTTACCAGCTACATGAGTAATTACTTTTTCTTACAAACCTTGTCTCAAAAGTAATGCCAGTCCCAGACCCCGACTGTTGATCAGCCCGAGTACAGAGCCCGAGATGTGCATGATGAACACAGCCAGACACGCACAAACACCGATCCATGCCACCCCCCTGGGATTTACCCTCTCACCGGGCGCTACGTGCTGCTGTGGGGTGCACGCAAAAGCCTGGGGTTACTCCGGGCACACACTTCACCCATCACTGGCATGGTTTTTGGCACGGCAGCTGATGCTGCATAAGCAACGGCCGCTTTGCAGAAACCCCTCCGGCTCTCCCGGCCTGCTGAAGGCAGGCACCGCGTGTTACTCGTATCAAAACTCAGATTTTGTGATTTGTCCTCAGCTGCGGGCGGGCGCTGGGTTGGGGTCACCCACCTGCAGAGCAGGGAGCAGCCTGCAGCAGGACTCCCAGATGGTTTTGTGATCCTGGGCGCTGTTTTCTTCGTTCCAGTTGCCGTGTTGATTGATCCCTCCCAAGACTGTGAGTTCACTCCTGCACCAAAAGCCAGAGGAGATTAATGGTGGTGAGCGTCCCCAGCCACCCCTTGCCGGGCCATCGCGCGGAGGGACTCAGCGTGTGTGTCGTGTGTGGATCCCGCTATCCCCTGAGCCTGCAACATATTCCTGCTGGAGAAATGCTCACGCCAAACAGGCGAGAGAGCGGTGCCTACGTGTCTGCTCAGGAGCAAGTCATTAAATATTATCAGCACCCAAAAGCCCCTTGCCTGGGCAAATCAAAAAGCTAATTTAATCTTCTATCAAACAGGTCTGCTCCTGCCTGGCTGGGGAAGAGAGTGGGAAGAAATGGGATACCTCCAGCGGGGAACACGAAGAAACAGATTGCTGCTCCAAAACTCCTGTGGATCCCAGAGGACAAGAGACAGGTTAAGGCTGGGGGGAGCTGGGGGTGTCTGTACCTGCTGGGCCCTTCTAAAACCTTGCTCGAGCCCTGGGAAGCACAAAGACAAAAAGGCTGAATGCCAGGGAATGCAGAGGGGGAACCCCAGGGCTGAGTTTCCAGCGTGGAAGAGGTGTCCTCCGTGCGTGAGTGCTGGACCTGGCTGCTTCCTCTGGGAGCCAGCCTGGTGCCCAGCTACGACAGCTCAGGCTAAAATAAACACGGAGAGAGGAGGAATTCATATGGAGCTGGGACTGTGATCAGAAATCGCTGGGAATACTTTGCTTGGGGGCTGTAAGCACTCAAAGTTCCTATTTAAATAATGGCTTATTGCCTAATCCTGAAATATCAGCACAATAGGAAGTGCCAGGAACGCAGCATTCGAGTTACAGCTTAAAAAACCTTCCTTCTCCCTAGCCAAAGCGGGGTAGATGGCTGCTCTCCGGAGGAAACAGAGGCGGGATGAACAGCAGACGTGTGTTTATTTATCCTGCAATTTAGCTCCCTGGGTACATGCACGTGCTCCATCTCAAATAGATCCCAACTCCCCTAAGAAAGCTGCTGGTGGGAAGCAGGTGGGAAATGCAGGATCAGTGCCGGAAACCGGGCTCTGCCTGGGCACAGCCTCTGCTGCTTGCTGAGCCCTGAGATGGTGCTTTTGGGGCCAGGATCTTGTTTCAGCCCTTCTCACCCCTATGGGGACACAGAATTAAGGTTTTCCTCTGAGATTCCTCCTCAGTTCCTACAGGGAGGTGGCAGGGAGCCCTGTGCGGGGGGGGGCTAAACTGAATGGGATGCCCTCAGGAGATATCTCACCAATAGCCGCAGGCACAGCTCAGGGTGACAGTGAGGGGAAGGCTGAGCTTTTTAGGCTTTTATTAAAGTAAAAAGGATTCCCACCACAGGTTTTAATGGGAGGATGAATCAGAAGTGCCTTTCCCCACAATGAGCTGCCGTGACGGCAGTTTTGTCAACACTAGTGATAAAAGACATGGGTACAAATGTGAAAACAAACGATCTGCCCCCAAAATATTTGTCCCACTGTCAGTGTTTGGCTCTTTTGAGGGCCTGGCCAGGATTGGTGTTTTGCTTTGGCGGGATTTGCTCCTTGGAAAAGAACAGGACCGGGGATGTTGAAGCCCCGTGGTGCTGTCTGATCCAAGAGCCCAGGACCAGCCAGGACCCCCCTCACTTCCGAGTGCCGAGGTGGGGTCTGCGCAGGGAGCTTGTGCTTGCTGTGCTGCCCATGGGAGCTCCCTCACTTCGCCTGCCTGTGTCCTTCTGCTCTCCTCCCACGCAACAAATAAACCAGGTATGAGCCCAGGCCTGGGCTGCTGCAGGGCAGACGTCAGCAGGGAGCTGAGCATTGCCAACGCCAGCCTCGCCCGCTGCCACCTACCCCGGTATGACGTACGGCGAGTTGTAGATACCAGATTTGATGTTGTGAGTGATGACGAAATGCTTCACCCACGGGGCCAGGACCTGGGAGACAAAGGGGAAGAGGGTCAGAGAGAGCCACAGAGCAGGGTCCCTGGCTCGGGGAGGCTGCAGGAGGGATGTGGGCAGCTCAGCGAACGTGGACGTGGTGCTCTGCCCTCTGCTCAGGCCCCGGGTATGCCACGGCGCTGGCTTCCCTGCACTGCCGCTGTGGGAAGACAGGGAGGTGGGAGGGCAGGTGGGCAAACAGAGAAGCCTCCTACCCAGTGTGTCTGTGTTTCCCCAGATAATCATCTCCTGAGGATTTTATGTCTTTTTATTATTAGCATTATGCCTCTGGTCTCCCCCCACCTTCACCCAACCAAGAAACGAGCTGGAGGCTCAGGGCATCCCCACGGCTGAAGTAGGAATGGGATCCAGGTTTTCTGCTCTGGCCCTCACACCTTGAGGGTTTTACACAACCATTGTTTGCTGGGAATCAGGACCCGATCCCAGTGTGGGTCCAGCCTACAAGCCCACAATTTTCCCCAGAGGGGAAATCTAAGGTGGCTAATGAACAGCTCCTCTGGAAAAAAGAGAGGGGACACAAGGCCTGCACCCACCTCACCTTTATGACCTGTCCACGGCCAGGCTGTAGCTCTGGGTCAGGCTGCAGCTCCCCTGCACGCACCCCAGTGCAGTTTATTACAACATCCACGCCCTGGGCAGCGATCTAATGAGAGACAGATGCGGCGCGGTGAGCAGCGCGCACACAGCGATGCTTCCGAGGCCGCTCCCCATGGAGGACACGAGATTCCTGCATCAAAGCCAAGCCAAGTGCTCGGTCCAACACTCCTGTAATGAATAAACCATAAGGGCAGGATCCAGGGCACAGCTTCCCCGGCACGGCTCCCGCAGGGACCCTGTGTGTGCCGGCAAGGAGAATGTTTGCAGTTTAAGGGAAAGCTGTACTGCCGATGCTTGGCTGCATCTTCACTCGGCGCCAGCCAAACGCGCTACCCTGTCCCATCTCAGCCATCTCTTGAAGCACAAGAGCCTTTATCTTTCCTGGTAGAATTTGTTTCCTAGATCTTGGTGTAGTTTTGCTGTTGTTCCCTGGCCTATTGCTCATGGCAAGGGACATCCTGGAGCAGCACGTGCCGGCTGGATGCTGCTTCTCCACGCCAGGACGGGGCCATGCCCGCTGCCCCGCTCTGCCCCGCCGCGACATCGCCACTCACCTCCTGGAAAGATTCAACTTTCTTATGGAAAAACTTCACTCCTCTCTGCGTTAACCTGGGAAGAATGAGTCCATTTGTTACCAGCAAATTGAAAGCAAATGTACCATTCAAACTAGCGCCTGTAATTAATACCCAGAGTAGGTACGGCTTGTTGCTCCTTGTAATAAACTGCCATGGTCTTCTCGGTGGTTCCTAACAGTCTCCAGCTGTTAGCTTGTTTCCCTAATGACCCAGATCTACGGCAGATGATCGGTCCTGCTGAGCCCTGGACCAGAGCCCAGGCTTGCTGCTTGGGATAGGGCACCCACTCCACATTAGAAATAACAAGAACAAACAAATGCAGCGCTACATGTCCCATGACTTTCATTTTTGTCACACAAAAATACACTCCTGGGCTAACTATTAAAGTGGAGAGTCTGTCACCCCACCAAGGCAATGAGCTGGAATTCCAGACTCTTTTTCCTGCCTCCCCTCTCCCTCGGCTCATCCCGCCGTGCCCGTGCTCCTGCGCTGCTGTGGGGTGCAGGGTGGGGGGTTGCTGAGAGCAGACAAGGGTGCTGGGGTCCCCTGTGGGTGCTGTCACGTGGAAGCCACCAGCACCAGCATTTTCAAGCTGAGCAGGTCAGAAGAGCAGCAGGACACGGGATGGCCGCCTAAAACCAGCACCGCCTAAACTCAGCCACCAACTTGACCTAAGAGGAGGATCCAGGGCAACACCTGAGGTGCAGGATGAAAATCCACAGCTGCTTGCCATGGCCAGAGAAATCGGGGGGAGCAGCAGCCCTCCCGCAGCGGCACGGCCCCGGCCCCAGTGCCGCGGCGGCTCCGCACTCACCTGTGGGTGAGCCACGGCAGGTAGCTCCGGCCCTCCAGCATCAGCGCCGTGTTGAACCAGCCGTAGCTGAAACCGGGCGAGGAGAGGAAGCCGTCAGGACCCGCAGCAGCTTTACACACCGAGCCTCCTGCCCCGGCGCTCCCGAGAGCCGCTGCAGACCCCAATTCCCCTTTGCACAACAAGGGCGTGAATTTTTTCCCTCTGTTCACAGCATTAAACGCCTTCTGCTGATTTCCTTCCCTCCAGTTTGACAATATCTGGTGAAGTGAGAGAGGGGCTGGAATGGTTTACATGCTGGGCTGCTGCTTTTTTGGTTTGTTTGAGGTGTTTCCTACTTATTTTAAGGGAAGCAGCTGTAATGAAGCAAGGCCACTTCTGCGCCTGCAGTTTCTCGTCCTCGCTGCCCCTCACCAGGGAGGTGCCGGGGACCATCCTGCCATACCAAAACCCATCAGCGACCCTCTGGAAAACAGACTGAAAAATACCTGTAACCGGGGAAGAGTTCAAGCTCTTTTGGTGTCAAGTTCCTGAATCCCAGGACAATGTTCTTCCAAGATGGGTCCTGCAGTAGGGAGAAAGGGCCAAGCTGATTAATGAACCTGAATCACCATGCCATCGTGGGACAGAAGTGTTGGGGGGGACACAGCCCACCCCAAAGGAGCGCGGGTGGGCGGGCAGCTGCGGCACCCCACGGTCAGCTCGGCTCTCAGAGGGCTCAGCTCTTACCAATATTGCATCAGGGGCGCAGAAAACACTGTGTCCCAGGGCAAACTGTCACAAGACAAACTTGGAAGGATTCGGAAGCATTCAGAGCATCGTCTGGGAAAAAGTACAACCCTGCCCGCCCCCGGGCAGCCTCTGAGCTGGAGCCCTTCCCAGCCCTGGCTGTGGCTTGCTCCTTACCGGCACCGGCTGCGTAAACAGGTTGTAGCCAGAGATTAGGAAAAGTCCCATTTCCTTCGCTGCAGGTGAGCCCAGGTGCCTGAGGAGGTAGTCAAACGTCTCTTTATTCCAGAGCCTGTGATGAAAACAGGAGAGTGGTGGCTGTGCCAGCCCTGTGGAGCTGTGTCCCGGGGCAGCTCAGCCCCTCATGCACTGATGGGCACAGCCCCAGGGGGACACAGCACCAGCCTCTTCCTCCTCCTCCTCCTCCTCACTCACGTCTCCTGCAGGTTGCCGTGGTCGCTCAGGTAGGGCTGCCACAAGCCGGCCGCTCCGTCGCTGGTGGTGTGGGGCGTGTAGCGGTCCGCGTAGATCTCCATCTCCAGGGCAGGCACCAGGCCGTGGTACTGCTCGTGGATGCACAGGGCGGTGGAGAGGCCGATCACCCCGGCCCCGATGACGGCCACTCGCATGGCTCCGGCTCTCTGCAGCGGGTGAAAATGCTTGAGATGCAGCGCCGGGGCGGGGAGCTGCTTGGACAAACCAGGGCTTCCCTGGAGGGGAGGGCATCAGCTCCTGCAGAACCTGACCTGGCCTCGGCTCTGGTGCTGGAGCAGAGCTGGGCTGCGAGGAAAGGGCTGAGCTGCTCTTGGTACATTTGTGTGTGTTTCTTGTCAAGCCTCCCAGGCCCTTTTCAACACCTGCCTGCGCTGAACAGGCGCTGAAATCACGGCTGGAGGGGGTACAGTTTGCCATGGCAGCGGGGGAATGTACCTCCGTTGCTCGCAGTGGCATCGCTGGCTCTGCCCTTGGGCACGCCGTAGCTGCTGGCGAGCAGAAAAGCTGCAGCTCAGCTGCCCACGGCCATGCTCCTCTGCCCGGCAGAAAAAAGCCGCGGTCGCTCCGTGCCCTGCGGCAGCGCGGGACGGAGCGGCACAGCCATCAGCATCCTCCCCTCCCCGCCACCAGCTGAGGGTGAGCGGCCGGGGAGACGCGGGAGCACCCACCCACTCACCCCATCTCCCACGGGACGACGTGAGCCCTCCATGCGTGGTGACCCAGCCCCGCTCCAGGGTGCTCCTAATTCTCCCCAGCCCCTGGCACAGGCTGGAGAGAAAAGAGGTGGGCATGGAGAAAAGAAATGGGAAACAGCGGGTGTTTTCCAGGGAGCAATGCCAGGTGTGGTAAATGCAAGGATGGCTCCTCACGCCGCTGTTGCCCTCGGGGTTGCTGTTACGTGAGGACAGCTGTGCCACCACCCCAAATCCTTCCCGGCACTGGCTGGAAGAATCTCTGCTTGTGAATGCCAGCTGCAAAGAGGGTCTGCAGCCCGCCTCAGTCCCCTGACTCTTCCCTCTTGATGGATCTTTCCTGCCCTGCAGCCTAGAAAAAGCCCTGTGGTCACTAAGCAGAAAGAGCCAAGGACTGAGTCAAGGAAGGGCTGGGGGTACAATGGGGCAGCTCACCTCGGCCTGGATCACATCCCTGGATGAGTGTGTGTGTGGAGGGATGGGCACCAGCAGCACGTCACACCTGGTGCTGGGCGGCACGAGGAAATTCTAGCCCATAGTTTTATTTGGGCAAGGTGAAGCGCAGCATCTCTGCTGTGAAAGGCAGCCCGCAGCGGGACTGACATTTGCTGGGATGGAGGGATGAGTCATCCCGATGGCAGCGGAAGAGCTGCGCTGCTTCCCATCTGCTGTGGTTTTATAGCCCATGGCCAGTGAGAACCGGGGCTGCCTCCTCTACCTGCAGCCCCAGGGACTCATCCCGTGCTGCCCCTGCAGCCCCAGCCAAGGAGCTATCCGCCTCGCTGGTCAATTAATAACAGAAACACACGTTTTTCTTTGGCTTACCTGCAGCGTGCGTGGTCCTTGGGGGCAGCCGCTGCAGTTTTTGGAGACTTCGACGGAGCCACCTTCTCCGGGAGGCTTGTTTACAGCCCAGCAAACCGCCCGCAGTGCAAGGTCTAAGTGCCAAGGGCAGTGGGATCACAGCCCGCCCCTCGGCAATGGGGCCAAAGTCTTTGCTCCAGGCTCAGGGAGGTGGAGTCCCCCGCGCCGGCCCCCGTGTGCCGCTGGCAGCCGGCCCCTGAGTCGCTCCTCTGAAAAGAAAACGGGGTCACCGCGGTCCGTGGCCAAACGCCATCGCTGACACTTGTCACCACGGTGACTGCTGGCTGCCCCGACGGGTCCTGGTGGATGGGGCCATGGGGACGGGACTCCCCAGCCGCCACATTCCTGCGGGATCTGGGAAAATCCGATGCCTCAGTCCGCATTTTTGTGTGGCAAGAGAGAAATGGCATTGTGTCCCTCCCAACAGACCCCAGGAGCTGTGCCACCCGGCTTCCCCCTCTCAGGGGTCAGATGGCTTCATTTCTCATTCCTGAAAACGAGAAAAAACCTGAGAATGAGAACAAAATTGAGAAAGCTGCGTCTCCCTTCACAAAACCCACACCTTTGGGTTCTGGACTGAAAAGGTGCAGGTACCATTAGCAGCAGTGGAGGCAGCCCTGGAAGCACATGTGGTGTTTGGGCAGAGTTGCTACAATTAGGGATTTTTATAAAAGAGGTAATGAGGATCAAAGAAGTGGGAAGTCATCTCCTGCACAGTCTGGTTGCAGATATGTCTGGAGTCTGGATTTTACCAAAACTTTTATAAAAGAGGTAACAAGAATCAAAGAAGTGGGAAGTCATCTCCTGCACAGCCTGTTTGCAGATACATCTCCGGAGTCTCGGGCGCTGGGTTTCAGCAACGCAGAACGACCCACCACCGGCAACGGGAATTCAGTCCCACAAAAGGCAGAGGAAAGAAAGGCATGGGCAGGCGTACACCCGCCTGCGCAGAAGGATGCTTTGCCCCGGGGAAGTCACAGGGATGGTGTGGGAGAGTCGAGTCTGCAGGGTCGTAGGGCTTAAGCATCTGGAACCTGGAATGCTTTTGGGAGCGGAGCCCCACTCGCACACCTTTCTGACCCAGAGCGTCATTTCGGGGGCTGCCTCCCGCTGCCCAGCAGGACCAGCAGCACCAGTAAGCTCCCAACTCCAGCGTGGCCTGCTCCTGCCGAAGCCCCAGCTTGGGATACCCCTCTCTGGAGGCCGTGAAGGAGGAGGCCTGTCCCTGACGTGTGCTGGCCCACGGTTGCATCCTCCTGGGGATGAAGCCGGGAGAAACCCGCTGGGGCTGACGGCATCCAGCCCCTCGCACCCCAGGGTGCTTTGGCACAGCTCCCCTTTGCAGCCTGTCAGGGAGGAAGGGGGAGAGGCCGTCCCCCAACGGCCTGAATTACGAAGGGCTTTACACACAATCAGCAAAGCCTCTTACACTAATTACCCCATTACTCATCTGCCTCTTGCTTTTGTCACCGCTGGCCCCTCGCACTTTCATCGGACCGGTTTACGGCATGCTCCCGGCTGCTACGCCCTTCAGGCTTTTAGGGGTGACGCTCAGATCCCACCGACACCTTTTTTTTTTTGGGGGGGTGTGGGGGGGTAGTGCAGAGGGGACCGCACCCCCCGCCCCTCACACCCACACCGTGGGGCAGCGCCTGGGCCCCGCGGTGGGGGGGGTGACCCAGCGCCGGGACTCCCTCCCCGGTGCGGCCCGGCCGTGCCGGCGCGCCCCGGGGGAAGCACCGCCCCGGGGCCGCCCCTCGCTCCTCCCCGCGGCCGGCCGGGCTGCGCAGCCGCCGGGGCGGGGGAGGCGGCCGGCGCCCCGCAGCCGTTGCTGTGAGCGGGCCCCGCTGCCGCCATGGCGCTGGTCACGCTGCAGCGTTCGCCGACCCCCAGCGCCGCCTCCTCGGCCAGCACCAGCGAGGTGAGCCGGGCCGGGCCGGGCTGGGCTGAACCGGGCCGGCCCCGGCGGCGGGGGGACGGGGAGCGGGGCGGGACGCGGCCCCCTCAGCGCCTCGGCCGCGGCCATCACGGCCCAGAGCAGCCCCAGAGCGCGCCGCGGCCCCTCACGGCCTCGGGGCCCCCTCAGCCCCTCACACCCCCCGGCCATCACAGCCCCTTCTGATCCCCCTCAGCCTCTCTTGGTCCCCTTCAGCCCGTCACAGCCCGCCCGGCCATCCCATCCCCTCAGAGCCCCCCTCGGCCATCCCATCCCCTCCCGGTCCCTCTCAGCCCCTCACAGCCCACCCGGCCATCCCATCCCCTCAGAGGACTCCTCAGCCCCTCACACCCCCCGGCCATTCCATCGCCTCCTGGCCCCGCTCAGACCCTCACGGCCCCCCCCCAGCGATCCCAGCCTCTCCTGGTCCCCATCAATCCCGCAGAGCCCCTCTCAGTCCCTCCTGGTCCCCCTCAGCCCCTCGCAGCCCGCCCAGCCATCCCATCCCCTCCCCCTCACACCCCTAGGCCATCCCAGCCCTCCCCCCCCACCTCCCCCATCCCTCACAGCCCCCCCCCGGCCATCCCAGCCCCCCCTGATCCCCCTCAGCCCCTCACAGCCCCCCCCGGCCATCCCAGCCCCATCCCCTCACAGCCCCCCCCCCCCCCCCCCCCCCCCCCCCCCCCCGATGCCGCTCAGCCCACAGCCCCTGGATGCTGCCAGGCTGACCCAGGCCTCGGGCTGTCCTGCCATCTCCCCGCTTTGCCCCGCTGCGTGCTGGCCATCCCCTCCTCTCAGCCCTCTTTTCCCTGCTCCGTGGCTGTCCCCTACTCCAGCCTTCACCTGACATTAGCTTGGGCTAGCTAAACCCTAGGACAGCACGCTTTGCTCTTCTCTGCCAGGTAAATCCCTGGGCAGCATGTTGGGCTTGTCTTCACTGAGCAGCTGTGCTTGCTGGCCCCACGGCCCCCATACATTCTCCCTCGCTGACAACCCATGGCCACTGCCACCTCCTGCCCCAGGGACCCTCCGCTCTACCCCCGGGGTTACTCCATCCCTGTGCCTTTCCCCCAGCCTGCTGCAGCCTCTGCCCCGTGGGGAGCCCATGCCAGCCCTTCCCTGAGGCAGCTGTGGTCAGTTCCCACTGCCGGTGCAGCTCCTGTGCTGTGCTGCAGCCTGCGCCGTGCTGCTGCCTTCTCCTTCCCTCCCAGCTCTGCTGATCCAGGGCTGTCTACATGCAACTTAACCCACTGCCCCCGTAATGCTCCGCTCCGTACGTCCCTGTCCTGCCAGGACAGGCACCTCGTGTATCCTAACTCTGTTGCATGCCCCCTTTGCTCTGGTACCCCACAAACGCCTTCTCCTGCCTCTGCTGGGCCTTGGGCTTCTGTCTTCCCTCACCACAGCTCTCAGGTGCCATCCAAACACAGCTGCTCCCTCCAGTTTGCTTTTCTTCTCTGTGCATCCCTTTTTTTTTTTTTTCCTCCTAACCCATCTCTTTTGTGACCCTCAAAGAGACCCGGTGTTTCTCTTCATATTCTTCCTGTGCATCCCTCTCCCACTGCCTCCCCCCCCTCCTTTTTCTTTTGATGCTGCTGCCCTTGGCTCCGCTCTGTCCCTGTTTCCGCCAGGTAAACAATCCTGTTTGTCATCTGTCAGGTCCCTGTGACTCCCCTGATTAGCTGGTCCCAGTGGGGGAAGCAGGAGGGGGACAGTGCAAGGCTCTCAGGCTCTCCCTCACTGGAGGGGCCGTGGGGGTTCCCTTTGCAGGGCCCTTGCTGGAGACGTGACTCATCCCTTCCTTTTGCTGACTGTTTTGCTGTAGATCCATGTCGTGTGCTTTGGGCTCTTGAGGCTGCAGGGACCCGGTGTTTGGACTGTGCTGTGTTCACTGAGAAACTTGGAGACAGGACTTGTGCTTCTGCAGGGATTTTTCAGAAAGAATTTTGTTGGATTTAGACAGTCTTAAAAGAGACCTAGTGGCCCCCTGATCTACACAGATGTAAATGAGCTGCAACCCTGTTGCAGGCAGTGGAATTAGACTGGATTTAACTGGTGCAGGTGGGAGAGGAATCAAAGCAGGATGCCGCTCACCTTACCACGTACATCTGTGTTAGGCATTGCACTGGGTAGGAGCTTGGTGTTGGTTATTTTTTCAGTTGGGTGACCATAAAATTCTCCCTTTCCCTCTCAAAAATGTCCATGGCAGGGCACTTCTGCTGCCAGCATCCATGGCTCAGGTGTGCTTTGGTGGCTCCCAGAGGAAGACATCAGCTCCCATTCTGTTTGAATGGTCCTTTCTGGCATGAAATACCTTAAAACTATAAACCGTCCTTTTCCAAATTCAGTTCATTATTTTTACAAAGTTAATTTCAAAGAAAAATCCCATCAAAAAGTGGCAGCCTGCTCCCTGATCTTTTATGATCTTTCTCCCAAAGAAAATCAGGGCTCTTCAGGGCTTTTAGCCTATGTGAATAATTATTAGAAGTTTTGTTGTTTTGGTTTGGTTTGGTTTGTTTTTTTTTTTTTTCAATGGAAAATGATGACCGTATGTCTTTTCTAATTGGGAGTACGCTAATGCAGCCTCTCTCAACTCATGAGCCTGAAGGAATTTATAAAATGGATGCTGCTGCCTGAAAGAGGCTTGCTGCTGTGTTAACGTAGAGTGCCGTAAATTCTTAGGAGGAGAGAGTAGATCATACACACTTGCAAACTTGCACACACTTGTTAGCCCCGCTGCCATCTCCCTTCCACACCACCTCCCGCTCCATGCCGGGTCCTTCAGCCCGGCTGCGCTCTGCACAGTCCCTGGGGGGGGATGTGGATGTGGCTGGTGGAGGTTTGGCCCCGGTGCTGGTGTCTGTGCCATGGTGGGGTCCACGGCATCGTGCGCGTGGTGCACCCTAAAACCTGCTGGCTTGGAGGGGTGCTCTGACCAAAACAAGGCAGAAGCACTCAGCGTGACAGATAGCAACTTTGTGGTCTGCTGCGCTGAGTGCTTCTGCCTTGTTTTGGTTTTACTGCACCTTTTTAATGGAAAATACAGAGGGAATCGATTTTGAAAGCAAGTCAGCTTCTGCAGGAGATGAGCTCGCAGGAGATTCAGAGGCCGGCTCTGCTCCCCGGCCTCAGCTGACAGCATTCGTGACTTCACAGTCACATTCATTTAAAAAGAAAAAAAGTTTTTCTTCCCCCTGTTGCTATGTGAGAGACCCAAACAAACAGGAGGGTGATCTTACAAAGGCCAAAAACCTGCCAGACCTTCCCAGGGCTGGGGGGATCTGCTGGTGGGGGGTACTGGGGTTTGGGGTGTTTCCGGTGCTCTGCCTGCTGCCCCGGCCAGGCTGGCTCTGCGCTGCCGCTGCTCAGTGTAAACAGACTAAAAATAGTGATGGTATGTTTCTCACCATCAGCTGCAGTCATTTTGGATGGGCTTTGTGTATCTCTTTTCCTCCAAATGGCTATATTTCTAATATCCGGCCTGTGTGGTTGCATTTGGGGTTTCTTCCTGGCATTACTTAGTTCTTGCAGATTGTAAACAGAGCAGCTCCTGTGCGCTCTGGCCTCCTGAGTCTTAACTTTGGGGGGTGAGGAACAACCCAGATCCTACACACACACAAAACTTCAAACTTGAATGTTTTACATGAAACTATTTGCTTGGTTTTAACTTCTGCAAAACCACCTGGAAACAAGTAACCCTTACAGTGGCCCTTATTTGATGTGGGCTAAGCAATGTTGTAGTAAATAACAAAACGTTCCCTGAGTGTTAGCACTGATGGAGCACAATTTCTTAAAGGTTTGTGTCCCTCCAGCTTCATTAGGCGCCGGTGTCCGGTGTGATGCAGGGCAATCTGTAAGGTCCCTGCTTTGATTCTTGGGTCCGAACCATCTCCCCAGTGCAGCCTTGCCCTCTGAGGGGATGCTCTTGGCTCTTTTTCTTCTGTCTACTGCAGGACCAAAGAAGGAGAATTATCTTTGAGCTTTGTTTTTTTTTTTTTTTCTTTCAGTCAGCTCTGGATGCAATTAGCCCCAACTCTGTTTTTCTTTAATATGGAATTTTGTCCAGAAGCTAACAGAGAAGTTGAAGGAGGTGGCTGGAAAGCATGGCTACGTGAAAATGTTTCTCTCTGAAAGTAGGCTTAAGTCAGCTAGCACGCTTCTCTTTCAAGGAGAGTAAATAAAGTGTCAGGGCTGGTAATGTCATCTGGGTAACCAAATTTGCTTTCAGGGGGACTTTCCTCCAGTGTCGGGTGGAAAAAGCGGCGATTTTAATACCTGCCTGCCATCAAAGCAGTGTGTTTACCAGGAAGGCAGCAGACATAGGAGTTGTTGATGACTGGGCAACCGTGTGGGCATTGTCCTAGCCTTGGGACGTGTCTTCTGCCAGCATCCTGGTGTTGGTGGCCTCGCTGGCGAGGTGGCAGAGGTGCAGGTCAGTGCCAGGTTGGGGTTCAGGTGCTGCAGGCTGGGGCAGTCCCAGCTGGGCAGTTTTGGCTGCATCTGTTGGAGGGCACTTGCGCTGTCGCTCCGCGCCCTGTGTCACAGCATTCGTTTGTGCCCAGCTCTTCGTTAGCAGCCTTTGGCTGGGGACAGGTTCTGCCCTCACGTGTGCGCTCAGTGCGAGCGATGTGTGTGAGCTCTTGGTGACGTGGAGGTTGGCGATCTCCAAACTGATCTGCTCTCTAGGACCAGCTTGCGGGATTAGGACCTAATAGCTTTAACATCCCCTTGAGCCCCTTTGTCACCCGGCACTGGGTGCTGATGGCATATATGGCCAGGGAGTCTCATTTATCCCTGGCACCAGAAAGAAAAACCCTGTGGAAAACAACCTGTTACCGCAGGGATGGTTTTAAAAAGTGTGGGGATTTTTTTAAAGTTATAGTATGGAAACAACCAGCATGTAACTCTCTGTATCCTTTTTTTCTCCCCTCAGCTGGAGGTTGGCAGCGATGAAGAGCGTAAATTAAATGTGAGGTAAGCAGAGCTATTTGGCTCTAAACATCATTTTCATTGTTGTTAATTGTCTGCCATGTATCTGAGTCCTGATCCCACACAGGACTCTGGCCTTGAGCGTGTGTGCTTGCCTGGAGAGGATTGCATGGTCTGCAGAGAGCTAAACACTGGGGATGCTCTTTCCCTTATCAGTTTAGTTTTGAGACGAGCGTTTAATGAATTGAAAGCATAAAAGAGAGTTTGTGGTGTTTGTTTTTTTTTTTTTTTTTCCTGGTGGGAAGAAATTAGGAAATTGCTTGTCAGCTCTGGTGACAGCACTTAACTGTTACTGCAGCATCTCTGTCTCTGTTGCTGCTCTCTGAGGTTGGGGCTCTGGGTGGGGAAGGGGGTACACTCCTAGGGTGGGTAGGGGTGAGCTCTGCTCATTCCTGGGTATAAACCATCTGGAGTTTGACTCCTTTGATATTGGGGTTGTATAGAGCCACTTTCTTTGTACAAGGGGGAGGCGAGGGCTGAGGTACCTGCTGGAGAAGAGAAAGGCTTCTCTGGCTGACGTTGTGCAGAGATCAGAAGTATAATATGATAAAGCTGGTTTGGTGGGACCCTGGTCTAATGGGGCTCTGAGTAATTACATGGATAGTTCACTCTAAACCTGTTGCAGCCAGACCTTACCTTCTAACCTGTTAACCACAATCCAAGAGATAAAGGGCAAAAACACAGCAGTGGTTCAGCAGTCTTGGTCTCTTCTTGTTACTACTTCCTACTTTATTTATCCTGGTTTCAGGTAAAAGCAAAGCCACTCATGCTGCTGCTTGAAGTTCAGTCTTGTTTCTCTCCCGTTTTATGCTTTGAGGCCTACTGTTGCAGAGATGTAAAACTGACATACCGGTGGCAGTGGGTTTTCTGTCGCAGTCTGATGGACTGAGACTAGGACAAAGTGGAGTCAGGTTGAAGTCTGGTTAACCTTCTGGATTTGGGAGCAGCAAGTGGATGTTAGAGTATAGACCCATCATTACCCTGCAAGTAAAAGAGCAGAAAAACAAAGTTGCTCCTTTACAGATTGGGACAGTGTCAGGCCTTGCCCTTTCTGTGTCCTGGGGGGGATTTGTTGTGGCTGCAGGCTGTCTGGGAAGCCCAGCATTCCACGGCTATCCTGTTTGCAACCACATCGGTCAGAAGTGTTGTACGTTTGGTTGCTGTGTGGTCTCCTGCATTTAATGGCAGTCTGTAGTGTCATTCGTTAGCTTATTTTCTGGAGAATTCATTTTGTATCAGTTAAAGCAAAATTCAGGATTCCTGGTTCTGCTCCCGGCTTGGTTGTAGGCTTATTGTGCAATTCAGGGCTTAAGCAGGAGCCGGCTGAAGTCATGAATAGCAACATATCCTTAACTTGTGCTTTTTCCCATGTTGTATTAAATAGTAACACTTAACCAAGCAGTATGATAGTCTCTTCTTTTGTGTTTTTGGTTCTTGTGCTGAAAGAGGAAATACAACATTATCCCTCTTCATTACAAATGAACTTGATGACAATGTACAGATAAATCTCTGGGAGATCATTGGTTTTGTGGCTACCTTTGGTCTGTCTGGCCTTTTTGCAAGTCAGGCATGTGCATCCATCAATGACGAGAGCAACCGTGGGGGTGGATGTAGTGAGAGTGGGCTTAAAGGCTGATACTTTTCTACTGGCTGTTGAAAAATGCTGCAGCACTGACTTTAGATACTGAGATCCCAAGAGCTTCCTCTGTCCTTCCATCTCTTGGGGCTGCTCTTCCATGTACAATGCTCAGGATAAGAATCTGGTAATTAAATCACTAGATAGACCTCGAGAACAGGATGGCTCTTGTGTAGAGCTTTTGCTGTACTCAGGGGGAAACACTGCCACGGACTGAAGAAAACGTGTGGCCCTAGTGTAGACTCAGTGTAGGTGATAAATGAAGCTCCTCTCGCAGGGAGCTGGGTAGATCCTCTCCCCTTCCTGCCAGCAGCTGCTCCGGGTCAATTTGCTGAGACTTTAGCTGGTGCCCATGGGGTGGCAGAATTGTTCAACTTCATTGCGCTGCTTTCCCAACAATTGAGTTCAGGTCTCCTCTGAAAAAAACCCACAGGAACAGGTTTTGATGATATTTATGAATCTTTAAATCCTGATCTAGCCTTGGTGGAGACTTAGGTGACAGCCCTGCGTTGTCACACATGCCCTGAACACAGGGGTCAGCAGTCCAGAGCCCGACTGCAGACCTCAAAGATCCAAATGGTTAGAAAAAGAAAGGGTTGTTGGAAACAAGACCACATCTAGCTGCCAGCTCAAACTGCATTTCATCCATACAGGATGAATGTGCTATTCCACATTCATGACATATCTTATTTCTCTGCTTGCTGAACATATTATTTTAATTCATTTTAAAAAATTCCAGGATTTTCATTTGAGACTCTATAGTTGGATCTGGCTACATGAGCTATCTGATTTTTTTTTTTTCTTGGAGGAATGGGTCTGTGTCATGATTTTATAACTAGCCGCATGTCTTGCTGCTCTCTGGTCTAAGAGCAGCAGACCTTCCATAGGGTCTCTGTCATTCCAAAATGCTTTTCTTTCTGTTTTCTCCCTGAAACAGCTTCTACCCTAAAATAAACTGAGGGGACATGTTCTAGGTTCAGCTTTTCTTTCAAAGATATTGTCATCTGCATTTTCTTAGATATTAACGTTCTTTAAAGTCTTTCTTTTCTCTTGCTTTCCAAAAATTTTGCAGAAGCCTCGATAAGGTAATATTCACACTGTTTCCAGCAGACAGCCAGGAGTCCCATTTTGCATCCCAGAGGGTAAAGATTCATAGCAGAAGAGCATAGTCTCATATCTAACAGCCCAGTTGGGCTCGGTGCAGACAAGAGCTTGCACGTCTGATTCTCTGCATTATCTGTGTCTGTTGAAATCTCCCTTCCCAAATGCCGATCAGCCACGGGATGTTGTGGCTTGATCCCTTCTTTTCGCTAACGATGCAGTGTACCCACAGGACCTTGAGACATCTCACCCAAATCTTAATAAAACTGCTGGCATGGTTACATCAAGTCCGTGGGAGTATGCATGAGTTTAGAGTTAAGCACAGCACAGTTTTACAAGATCAGGGTCCACGGAGTTCAACACAAGCCTTTTGTGCACAGTGCCTGCCACCTTATCGCAGAGCCACATCGTGCTCTTTTAGCTCGGAGCAACATCAGAGAAGATGATATCAAGCGTGGGGGAGACTGAGAGCAGAGCTGAGCTCTTTTCATGCAGACTGCCCTGAGAGAATGGGGTATGTGCTATTTTTCTTACACTGCTTTTTGGTGCAACCTGATTGACTTTCATCGCTCACCGTTGGTTGGCTCTCTAGCACTAAGTCAAAGGAGACGTTTGACAAAGCCAGTCATGTTGTGAGTGTTGGCTGCTTCTCAGATGTGGTTGGCAAATGCAGCAAGATAATCACTGGTTTTAATTACAAACACAAGTAAGTTTGTTTAGCCAGTCATTCTATAATCTTTGCCGTTATTGGCTTTCCAATCACAATCTGAATGTGGTCAGAAACAGGGCTGGGTGAGTGTTTTGGGGCACCTTCTGCAGGGAGATGGAGGTTGAACTGCTGCAGAAGGGCCTGGCAGTCAGGGGTCTCCAGCCTCTGATCAAGCCTGAAGATTGTTATGGAAAGAACCGTTCTTGTTTGGCACCACTAAACCCAGTTTTAAGAGCTGACAAGAGCAGCTGTGGGAGGTAAAGGTTTTCAGGATTGGGCTTGTATATATTTTCAGAGTCTTTTAATGGCGTATGCTCCTCTGCTGCTTCTCTACATGCTGTGTGGCGTGGAGTGTGGAGACCCTGCATTCAGAGCACTGCCTGGAGTGTCCAGTGTCCTGCTGAACAGAGAAGTGGTAGAGGAAGAAGAGGAGACTGAGGAGTCTTCCTCTCTTTGCTGATGCCAACCTGTGTACCTCGCCAGTTTATTTAATATTCCCAAGCCCCTTTCTCCCATCTGCAGCCTGGCACATGGCTATTAGCTCATTTTCTGAAATGTTCAAAGTGTTAGATCGGCTCAATTTTATTTGGCATTAAAACCTTTCAGCTGTAGGAGTCATATGGCCTTTGAGCTCTGAGGAAACTACAGCTTTTTGTGATGGGTAAAAGGCACCACATCCCCCTTGCTTTCCACCTCACTTACTCGCCTTTGTGTTTTGCATGATTACCTAGTCAGGAACAAACATGCTCCACCACACTGGTTTGATAACCGGCTCTACAGTTCCTTTAGTTACTGCTTTTTTCTTGTAGGTTAATGAAGTAAAGTAATTTTCTCTTTTGAAGACAGCGGAGTTACACTGGGCATTGGTTTGACTTGGTTTTGTGTTCACTGCAGGAATTAGGTGGAGCCCTCAGGTTGATGAAAACCCTTTGCAGCTCAGTGATCGACAGAAGGAGTAATTGCTGCAGACAAATCTTTACAGAGCATCACCAGCTTTAGATTGGAAATTAGGAGAAATTTCTTAACCCAAAGGGTTGTCAAGCGCTGGAACAGGCTGCTTGGGGAAGCAGCTGAGTCGCCATTCCCAGAGGTGTTTTAGGAGATGTGTAGATGTGGGCGCTGAGGGATGCAGTTTAGGGGTGGACCTGCCAGCCCTGGCTTAATGGTTGGACTTGATGATCTTAAAGGTCTTGTCCAAAATCACTGTGATAAACCAGATTCCTTGCTGGTGCTATGGCTGGCCTCTTCAGTACAGAAACTTGGAGAGCGGGAGCAGCTCCAGCCACTCTTCAGGCTCTTTTCCATGCAGCCACATGTTCGCTCTGCACTGAGTGCCCACCAAAGCTAGGGATGTTTATACATTATACTTCATTGTATGTTATATTTTAATGCACCATAAATTATTTATCAACACCTTGATGTTTAGCTTTTTTAGGGATTTATGAGCATGTTTTATGGGAGGCAGCACTGAGTGAACAGCTTGTATCCTCAGGTTTGAGAGGCTGTGTTGATGGTACTGGGAAGGTGCATGGTGCTGGG